GAATAGAAAAGGAGGGAGGAGTAAGATAATGCTGCCTAATAATACCGATCAACTTCCGAAGTATGGTGAACTGGACAGACCGTAGAAGTTGAGAAGAGGGGCACATGTTGGACTAACAAAAAGACCGTAGAATACATGGGTTCCACCGGCCATGTATGTTTCAGGTCGCGCGAACTCGAAGAGAAAAGCAGCAACTTGTCAAGTGAGACACCGGAGACGGTATTTTTAGTTGAAGATATAGAAGACTGATGTAATGGAGATACTCGACTGAAAACAGAAGCACCAGTCATCGTTAAAGGAGAAATCTAAAGAAATTTGTTTCTTTCTCACCTACCTGACCTCGGAGGCATCCCTTTTTAAGAACAGAGATCACGGATAGAACTTTTGAAATCAGAATTGGGAATGTGAGGCAGATGCCTATTTCTCCGGAAGAAATCAGTGAAGATATTCACAGTAGTTAAGAAAAAGAAAAAGATTCAAACTTCTGAAACTAGTATGAAGTCAATCAGTCAGTCAGTTAGTACTCGTACGTGATTCCCAGAAATGACGTGTGACATCAGAAGCACTTCCGACAGGCTGCTGCAGATTTTCATCATTAGATGCGTTTTTTTCGATTCTGTTGGTAAGATGGTTAGAAATTATAATTAACAAGTAACTCTGGGGATGAATCAGCCAACAATCCATTGCCTTATAAATATGCCAAAGGTAATGAAAATGAACTGGACATACTCTGAATAGACCGACATTGAAGTAACATGAAAAAGCAGAGTCTAGACTGGAAGCCGAGAGGGAGAAGACGGGTTGAGTTTTCTAGAATGATAGGGTGGAGTATTACCAGATACAAGGGAACAACTGCGCAATGATAAACAGATCTCAGAATAGAATTTGTTCCATTGTCCATCGTATGTGCTAACAATATTCTGAATATCTACCGACTGTAGGTTCTAGTTAATTCAAACTGCCGTTCAAGTAATACAAACGTAGAAAGGAGCAATACTATATATGTGTAGTGCTCCAGTGCAATAGCTTCGAAAAGAGAAGGCGGAAGAAAACAGCAAGAGAGGTGGAGAGGCAACCAGCAAATAACAATAATTTAAACAAGTTAAGTTTACTACAGTGCCGAAGTAAATCTCACTTATTCTGAAATAATTCTACAGCGAGTAAATTCTGAACCTGTTCTGAAATGGATTCTTCACTGGCACAGACTGGAACTCAGTACTGGTATCAGCATGACTGGCACTAATTCAGCACCGTGTTCTTTTTCTAGGCATTTTCTGGAGTAGATCAGAACCTACTGCATTTGCTTATCAGCGTTGTTCCAGCCCTCACAATATATATTAAGCATGGACTGGCGTTACTTCAGAACGAGAAGACTTAATTCAGTACCCAGCTCTCTTTTTAAGCACGACCAGAGTTATTTCAGAACACAGTGAGTAGATAAAATCCTCATTTACCATAAAGAGGCATTATCGAAGAATAGGTTAGAATAAGTTTAGAATTGTTATAAGCTTGAGAAACAATATGCGATAACTACAGGGTTCATTCCTCCTTTTTATTACAAAGAATTTGTAGTCATTGAGTTTTACAGTGTTACATACTAACGGTTAGTTGAAGTTTATGATAGTAAAAAATATAATAATAAAATAAAACAAAAAGTTGGGGAGAAACAAATGATGATGATTTTCACACCAAAATAGGGTAATGCTGGGAATAGAAACTGAAGAAGTTAAATCCAAACGCCAACGTACATAAAATATGTAGAAGAAAATAGGAATTATAATAACATTTACTTATACTGTTGTTCTGATTTATACATTTAGATGTCCTTCTGAAGTAGAGAAATCGTACCATGAACTTGTTTTCAGAGAGTTTATACACAAGCTGTGGCATACAGGCAGCTTTTAGTTTTCTTTCTGTTGAAGTTATTCAAACTCAGGAGCCTTAGCAGTAGAGCGCATTCCTATACTTCACGGTGACACTTTTGCACGTGTTTTCGCTGATATTCATATTTCGGTTCTGCTATATTATCACCAATTATAATGGGAAAAAACTCTAACAAGCTTGTTCTTAGGAGCACTAGTAATTTAGAAAATAGCTTAAGCTTATCTAGTAACTCATTATCACCCCTAAAATCAGCTGTAATAAGCAGTTCACCCAATACAAACGGTTCCAACATAATGCTATCACCTGTAATCCAGGTGGAAGATATCCTGTCAGAAAAGCCTGAGATAACCAACTAAATCTACTTGACCCGGTACCAGAAACAATCTTCCATCTTAAAAAGGAACTGGGGGATCCCACTTTCCTAAAACTCTTTAACTTGAAGACTAAACCAACCGATGCTGAATTTGAACATGCTAAGGAGCGAGAGAACGCTATGGACTATCTGTCGAGCGAAGTTAATAAGAGACTGGCTTCTAAACAGAACGCCATAGTGTACAACATACCTGATAATGAGCCCATAAAGTCGGTTCAGCACTCCTTGTTAAGAGCTGCAAACCTCTTAAGTACACCCTGTCAGTGTATTAGACTACATAAAAAAGAGTCAAACCGCACATGTCCCATACCTTTCAGGTTTGACAGCTGTATAATAGCCGAACGATTTAGGAAATCTGGGGATACTCTGGCCTCCACTATGAAATTCAAAAATGTTAAAATAGTCTCGGACAAAACCCCCAACCAACGACAAGTAGCTAGAAATACCTTAGATACGAACAGGACTGTACCACAAATCATGAATAGCATCAGTGCCGAAGTATCGAAGGACACTGAACCACAAAGTGACACTTGCATTGTACCAGGTAAACAAACGACACGCGAGGGTGAAGGGAAACCCAAAAGGGGCAGTAACACTGGAATGGGTCTCGAAGTTCGTGAGAACACTCCTAGGAAAGCTACCGACCTCGCACATGAGGTAGACATAGATGCTTCCGCTACGGATAACCTACAAATATCGGCAGATAACACTACACCCAGGGCCAAGCAAGATAATCTCACAGTAAAAGCTGAAAAAAAGTCCCCTAAAACCAAGGTCTCTCCATAGGCGTCCACATACCTCCATTGTGACAAGCCCAACAAGCAGCATGTAAGCTTAAAAAAGAACCATGCACGCATTACGGCAGGTCCCATAAAGGAGACGGAACATGAGAGTGGAAGTGTCTTCGTCGAACTAAGAGTAGTAGACAGACTGTGGATGACAGACTACACGAGGTGAAAGCTAACAGCAAAAATAGCTCTATCCACACAAAATCACACGCTAGCAGACACGCAAGGGGAGTCGAGCCGAATAAACAGCAGAGTGAGACCCACAATTTCCGTAATAGCCGAGGTTGTAATATGCCAATAGGCTCATATAACCTGGGAACGGGACCCATGAAAACACAAGGGCTACTAGACGGGACACCACTAGGTGCTATATGAACGGAAATGCATACTCGAACCCTCGTAGTAGTTACGTTAAGCCCCATCGGCATAACGGGTATAGATTGAATCACGGTCCTTCTATGTACATGCACGTAATGAGTCCACAAATATACAACTGCGAAAAACTTAGCACGCAATGCCCTCAAAACAACCTAAAAACAGGTTATTTCGGCCCTGTAAATAACAATCTGATTACTGAAAGACTATCTAATGGAGAAGAATGATTCCAGATACCCACGTAATGAGGCTAGAAACCAATATATGCAACAGGATTATTTTTGGTCGCAGCAAACAATAGCCCCTCTTGCAGCACAGTTTGTTCAGGGAATAGTAGACACGCTGACAATGTCTCATCTGAGAATCCCTCCGAACATAACATAGGCAACCAGGAGTTAGGGATAGTAGCAAGAAAACCCACTAATTGCCCTCCCAACAAAACTGGTTTTCTGAAAATTATGCTCTTAAATGCTCGATCTCTCCTTAACAAAATAACTTCCCTTCACAGCTTGGTATACATGGAACGGCCAACACTGATCCTGGTAACTGAAACTTGGCTAACTAATGATATACCAGACACAAAGCTGATAATTGATAACTATGACATCCACAGGAATCATAGAGTGGACAAAAGAGGAGGCGGGTGTCTAATATATGCTTCTAAATCCACTGACCCCAATACTTTTACAAACCTAACCATTGACAAACTCCCAGAATCTGAGTGGATAAGCATCCACACGAATGAAAATAAAATTCTAGTGGGATGTATATACAGAGCCCCCAGCAGCCCTAAAAGGACTGATACGGTTATCGTAGAAATACTAGAGCATGTACCTACTCTGGAATTCGACTACAAAATAATTTGTGACGATTGTAACCTCCCCGGAGTGAACTGGGATACCTGCACTGGACCCAGAATCCATGACGAGCTCCTAGAAGCTATAGATGTAGGAGGATGGAAGCAGTGCGTGCGTCTCCCAACACGACATAATAATATTCTCGACTTGGTCCTCTGCCACAAAATAGAACCGATCTCGATAGAGGTGGGGGATAAACTCGACAACAGTGATCACAACATACTGTACTGCACCCTAATTCTTCAACTAACAACTAAACACACACCTAAAAATTTCCCGGTTCACTATCAATATAGGGACTATAGAAATGCCGACTGGGAATTCCTACCAACGCTCTTGAGAAGCTCTGACTGGGATGAATACTTTACAAATGATAACTAAGAAGTAACACTTGATACCTTCTACAAGACGGTCAGTTCGATAAGAGATACAATCGCACCCCTAAAATCTGCCCTGAAGACACCAACTCTATTCATAGACCGCAAAACGAGATTAAAACACCAGATACATGAAACATGTAAAAATCTTGAGGAGAGACATAAAATGAAGGCACAACTCGAGGAAAGTGAAGCCCTAGGGGGCAACTCTAAAACTCAGGAACTCTTCGAGATCTTTCAAAAACGACTAAAAAGGAGTAAAGACAATAATGTTGGCCACTTGGAGCATGAAGGTATAATTTATGATGATCCCCAGATTATTTGTGAACTCCTAAACTAGTGATCTCCAATAGCACCAAAGCGCATCCGTCCTCAATCGTCGACATAACCTGCAAAAATAACTACAAGTTAAATGAAATCAACTTTAATATACAAAATATAGCATCAGCGGTAAAGACATCAAAAGCTAACGGTAGTTGTGGGATAGATGATATACCATCTGTCATATACAAAAACGGTGGCACGGATATGATGGTACTATTACTTAGAATATTCACCCTCTCACTAGTGACTGGGACCTACCCTGGAACTTGGAAAAGCACGTATATACTACCTAAGCATAAAGGAGGGGCCAAAACTACTGCCTGTAATTATAAGCCTATCAATATAACACCTGTCATATCACGGATCATGGAGAAAGTAATCAAAGACCAAATGTCAGACTACTTTCTAACACACAAACTCATCAACCAGTCACAACACGGATTCCTTAAGAAAAGATCTTGCGTCACTTGCCACACAGAATTTTTCAACGAAGTCACCTATAGAAGAGATAGGAGAGAACTAGTAATTGTCCTTTATTTTGATATAAGGAAAGCCTTCGACAGAGTCCAACATAGTCTGTTAGTCAGCAGGCTATGCTCACTAGGGATACGCAACCCCCTCCACAACTGGATAAAATCATTTCTCAACGACAGAAATCAGTCAACAAAAATCGGCTCGATGACCTCCAGGCCTAGGCCTATTAGCAGTGGTGTCATCCAGGGGAGTGTATTGGGACCCCTTCTTTTCATTATATACATAAACAGTATATGTGAGTGCTTTAGTATAGGTAAGCCAATACTGTATGCAGATGACTTAAAGGTGACATATACCTGCACAAATACAGATATCGGTACAACTATGAACTCCATACATGAAGAATTAACAAAAATGGATATATGGTGTGACACCTGGAGACTTGAGTTTAATGTCGAAAAGTGTGGCTGGCTCTGCATAGGCTGTCCCAACCTAAAACTCAACCTAGCAATTCAGGGCCACAAAATCCCCAGACTCAAATCTGTGCTAGACCCAGGACTGAAATATTCACACAATCTATCATTTTCTGAGCATATCTCGAAACAAGTATGGAGATCATGCAGGCTTATTGGTTTCCTACTCAGGAACTTCTACAGAAGTGAATCCAGAATACTACTGTACAAGGTTTGTGTGCGCCCACTCCTAGACTATTGTTCATTCATATTTAGTAGTACACGCATAAAAGACAAACTAAAAGTGGAAGGAGTACAGAGGTACTTCACGCTAAAAGTACTCGGAACCGAAAACGGCACAAACTACTCTACCAAATGTGAAATTCTAGGACTAGAAACATTATGGTTAGGACGACTGCGACTAAATCTGGTACTCTTCTATAAGCTTCTTAACCACATAGTGTATACCCCTACTAATTGTACTAGGTTTTCAGAAGACACTGGATATAACCTTAGACACACTAAAGGTACGGTTGCTATAGAACAATGTAAAACAGCCACCAGGCAAAAGTTTTTCATGATTAGGTATGCCCAAATATGGAGCGAACTACCTAAGGAAATGCGACTAGCAAGGTCACCGGTGTCCTTCGAAAAGGCACTTAATGACACACTAAGTGAGTTTGCAAGTGATACCAGTGCTAATTCCCATGTAAGAGCTTCAGAAATTATAGGCCCATTTAATGTATGAACCTAGAGAATACACCTGTTGTTTCATTTGCATTTACCTATAATTTCAGGCAAAAAAGCAGCAGTCATGAAAATAACACCCATACAAACGAGAGTCGATCGAATTATGTCTACCTGATACAAAGCGTGAACCATAACCAACATACGAATGAAATATGAGAAAACCAGGTCGAGACTTACCACAACATCAAATGGAACGAAATAAGTTACTTGGACATCATTTATAATCCACCAACTGGTCTCGTTTCCAAAAAGAATGCGACGGTATTTTATCCTCAGTGGAGAGGAAATACATAAATCCACAGTTCCCGTTGTATACACTCAGCGGAGGTAGGAGCCAAAAAAGTAATGCATTTAAAGCATATGCGTACTTCCCATCATCACGGCGACACTGCGGAATATGTCAAAATCGCAGAGTAATCAAAACCCAACCCATACAGTAAAACAATCTAACATGACCTTATCTAGTTTTCGTATCCATGATCAAATTTCTTTCCTATTGTAAAACTACAATTGGAATGCTGAAAAAATGGAATAAATACATCACTGACCTCAAAATAATAAATCGATTAACTTTAAGTCAAGGATGCTCTCCACAACAAAGTTATACAGGAGAATTGACTTCAAGCTTCATTTTTCCCAGATATTTGTATTACATTCATCCGATGTCTAAGTTTTCTGTTAATGCGAAGACAATATTTCTATATCTCTTTATGTGTTACACAGACAGACTATTTTGCAGATTGTTCCGACTGACTCTAATGTCAGAAAGAACAAACAAACTGTAAATTCAACATACATCGAAACATGTGTAATTTATTTAATAACTTATCCATGCCTGTACAATTGGTATGTTCCTGCATAAACAGGAAGAAATAAATATACATGTAGTTAACTAAATCCGAAAGGCAAACAAGTTGCAGTACATTTTTGAATATTCATCCATATGACGATCACGATGACAAATCCCAATCACTACCTATACAGCGCCAATAAACCTGGATATCTATGATATAACGAAAATATGCTGACAGCTGCATTTCAGATCCCACTGACTCATTCGATGGTGAAATTCTGCTCCTCCTCTTTCGACATTTTTGTATGGATTGGTTCGCAGTTACTCTGGTTCCAGACCGAAAAGAATCAAAAATTCACTGATTGCTGAATTATGAATACTCCGCTGCATGTTTAAGTGGATACCAACTGCTGTGGTGAGCCTCTTGCAGATTATACCGCTTAAAACATCGTTTACGGTAAACTAACTAACGTTTTATAAGCCATTTATGTACTTTTGTGAGTAGCCCACCATATCGACCGAATATAACGCAACGCTCAGTTGTTGCGCTCATTTTCAACAAATTCAAACAATAATGGTGCCTAGGATTATGCCATATAAACTGTTTTCACTTATGCAGAGTGTACTAACGGTCAATATTCCATTATCTTCCCTTGTATATATATCTTGTGTTAGTGAAAAATTTTAAATATGTCTACTCCATGTGTGCATTATTATCCCATTGATGATGCCTGTCAGTTGGAGTCCCTCATGTGCATGAAGTGAGAATATATTATTATAAGACGCATTTTATTGTTTTATGAGGGAATTGACTCCAAGCCTTGTTTATTTTCCCAAGTATCTGTAGTCCATCCAACGCATACTTGGGTTTTTTTGTTAATGCGAAGTCGATATCTCTATATTTCTTGGTGTGTTCCATTGAATCACTGGTTATCAGATTTTTCCCACAAACTAAAGATAAAATGACAGCAACCATGTTATTTAACCGTAAATCATGTAATTTAAATATATAACTTGAATAATACTTATCCAAGCCTACATAACTTGTGTGTCCTACATTTGTAGGAATAAATACGTACCTTATTATGTTATCATTACTAACTATACTTACTTATCGTTTGTGTAATTTATTGAATTGGTGGTGCCTGTAACTGGCGTCCCTCATGTACAAAAATGAGAATATATTACTATTATTCTCTTAAGTCCCCAACATCATATCCGCTGAATAGCAGTCACCACCCTCCCACCTTTTAATCTGTTAGGCCCTGGCGAAATACTCCTTTTGCTTTTAGAAACAGAATCTTTTTTCATTGCAAAGTGTCATATAGACAGTTTTTGCCTTCACTAGCTAACTCAACGAAACTCATGATATGAACGACTACTTTCAGTCAGCCATTTTGTATGTATCGTCCCTAACAGCATTTTAAGAATATATATGTACAGTAAAAAAGTAAGGAAATCAGAGATTTGCAGTCTACCTTCTAGATTTCAGTTATAAACATATGAAACGAAGGGGCAATATGAAATGGTACGAGAAGATAAAAATATGTAAAGGTACATAGTTATGTTTATATATGCATAGAAAGAGATACTAGTTATTTGTAATAGATTGTTCAGAAGAATTCGACTACACAGGATTACTTGCCACTTCGACTTTTTCAACTGCGTCACTAGTAGTCGCGAAGCACGTAAGCTAGTTGTTGTTCTCTACTTCGACATATCTAGGCATTTGACATGGTATCTCACAGTATTCTCTTTGAGAAGCTGTATTCATGTGGGATTCGCAATCCATTACTGAGCTGGTTAAAATCCTTTCTAAGCAATAGTGTACAAATAACCAAGGTTGGATCTGTGTTGTCTCATCCCAGACAGATCACAAGTGGGGTTGTGCAAGGTAGTGTCCTAGGTCCACTTTTATTTACAGTATACATTAACAGCATTTGCAACTGCTTCACCTCAGGTAAATCATTCCTATATGCTGACGACCTCAAAGTCGTTTACTCCTGCTGCGCTCATGAACTAAGCGATATGGTGAATAAAATACATCTTGAACTAAGTAGTCTTGCAACATGGTGTACTGAATCCTGTCTAAAGTTCAACATTGATAAATGCGGCTGGATTTGTATCGGCAACAGTAACGTTGACCTGAATCTTGAAATAAATGGGTGTAAACTAGCCAAGCTCAACTCAGTCGTAGATCTCGGTATCAGATACTCCAGTAACTTAACGTTCTCTGAACAAACTGATTATGCCAGACGTAAAACAAGAAGGCTCCTAGGATGCATAACTCGCAATTTCTTTTGTTGTGAAGCTAGTGTTTTATTATATAAAGTATGTGTCCGACCTATTTTAGAAAACTGCCCGTTTATTCTTAGCGGACTCAGACAAATTGACAAGCTTAAATTAGAAGGAGTGCAACGGCAATTCACCTTAAGAATTCTTGGTTTAGAAAGTGGTCTCCAATACTATGAACGTTGCGACAGACTAAGTTTAGAACCACTCTGGAAAAGACGTCTTAAGCTAAACCTGATTTTTTACTACAAGCTAACTAATCTGCTCGTGCACTCCTCCGAGCCAATAATTAAACCTACCGCTGTCATCAGTTACAATTTTAGAAATCATCACAACCTAGTTACTATAGGGCATTGTCAGACTTACATGCGGTATAATTCCTTCTTAAATAAGTTTTCAGTCATTTGGAATAGACTACCAGCTGATGTGCGCGATGGAAACACACTCTCAGTGTTCATCTCCTCAGTCACCAGACTGCTCAAAGATGACAGTGCACTTCTGCATCTGAATCCTACACCCACTCTTTCGTCCAACATAGATATTTTAAGTTCATTAAACGTGTAGTTACAACAAACTACAATTATAAATTTTTATATTATTGGAAGTACAGGATAGACATTTTTACACAGGACAATAATATTAGTTCACACAATATAAAAGTTAGCATCACGAGGATAGTTAGTTAGTGCACCAAAATATCTATAATTACTAAACAGAATATAAATGTATATATACACATTAATCACCCCCTAAGTACTCCACTTGCTTTCTTTTGCGTTGCTGTTGTTTGTCTTCTTTTGTCTCTCACCATTTCAGCTTCCATTTGACTTTCTGAATGAGAACGAAGAATGTAGATATTTGCCCATTTACAATGACAAATGATCTGCAAACATTATTGGTCCCATAACTTACAATTCCCTCGTGAATTGCGCATTGCCTTCACCAACGACGCAACCTGGATTACAGTTGTGAAATATATCTTTATACCAATAAAAAGGTATTGATTTATAATACTTCACGATTGTAACTTACAACATAACTGTTCTTCTCTGCAAAATAGCTTGCATTTCTTGAAAACACCCGTTTGTAAGAAAATATAAACTGTCATTATTATTAGTCTACCTTGAGTACTACTCACTTGTGATGTTACGAAGAAAATGCTGACAAAAGTATACAAGTGCATTACTTATTTTAAATTATTATCTAGAATAAGACTCGATGCCGTACACACCAAAGTTATATGGAGGAATTACTTCAAGCTTTATTTTTTCCCAAGTATTTGTAATCCATCCAAAACATACTTCGGTTTTTTTGTTAATGCGAAGACAATATTTCTATATTTCTTGATGTGCTCCATTGAATGACTAGTTATCATATTGTTGCCATAGACAAAATGACTGCAACCTTATAATTTTACCATGGACCAAATTTATGTAATTTAAATAATACTTATCCATGCCTGTACAATTGATGTGTCCTACACAGGTAGGAAAAAATGTATTTTATTAAATTACTATTATTAAATATGTTTACTAATCGTATATGTAATTTATCATATTGATGATGCCTGTAAACTGGCGTCCCTCATGTACAAAATGAGAATATACTATTATTTATTTATTTAATAACAGAACAGTAAAATAAAATCCGTTGATATTTAAGACTCACAGTGTAGTTAAGCTGATTTTTTAGACGATCCCGCCTAGGGCTGGAATTTGCGTAGACGTAGATTGTATTTACTCACAACATTAGTTAGTCAATAGAGGAGATTTTAATCCCGGTCATATCTAGTTTGTTTACTACTCGACCTTGAGGTAAGGCTCTTACCACACTGAAATGCCCATAACACAGCGTTGCCAGGAATATTTGCTATAGTATTTGAATAATTTGACTATTAGCAACCGGGATTAAATGGACTTGAGTGATTATAAAGGTATGACAGATGAGGCTGGCAGATTTTTTCAGGCAGTGGAGATGTGTTTGCAGAGAGTGTTATTCATGTAGATTCGGTGCAAATTTCGTGGTGAGTATATTGGGCTGTGTATTCCACTCCAGGTTTGTATGAAAGAACTGGGGATATTTTGAGGTGAAGCTTGCTAAACAAACAGTTGAATCAACTAAAAAGGGAGCTGAGAACAGTATTAGCGCAACGTTGATTATTTTACGTTTGTCTGATAATACTGACCGTTTCTGTTAATGCTTTGAGTGAACAGAGCTGTTAAGGTACGTAAGTCAAAGGGGAAAGAAACGATACCATGAATTTTCAGCATGCGGCAAACCGTATCAAGACAGATTTCGGAGAAATATTTATTTACTAGATGGGTGAATCGTTTTATTGTGGTGCTGATTTTGATTTCACTTGGCAAAGTTCCACATACGCATATATGTGTGTCGGTGGCACAGTGGTTAGGACTCTTGCCGACCATACACACGGTCCGAGGTTCGATACCCTGCCGACGCACACCCGATATCTATGGTAGGCCTGCAAAATTTGGGCTACCGATATCCATGCTGAAAATTCCATACTTGTACTGAAAATACGGTGTGGCATCAAGCTGTAACCAAAAATAAAATAATAAATAAATATATTTAACTGTAAAGAAGTTGTACTGAGACTTCGTCCGACAAAGAATATGACTTATAGAAGACCTGTTGCTGCTTAGTTCACACGTCGAAGAAGTCAAGTAAAGGCTGTTATTGGGAGAGTATACTATTCCTTCGAGAATTTCAAATAGGGGAATGAGGTTAAGTCGGTGGCACCTGAACCAAAGGGGTTCGATCTTAAGAGCTGTGCAACGACAGTTGTAGGGAACTTTCAGACTTGTTCCTTAGATTCTACTTGTAAATCTCACTCAATCTACAGTTTGTCCTTTACAGAGGTGCTGTCTAGGATAAATGGACAGCACTCAAGGAAGATCGTATTTGCGTTTTATAAAGTGCCATTATAGATTCTTGGATTTGAAAGTTATCAAATATGAATCCAAGTGATCTTCTGGCTTTAGAAACTTGGTTGGCAACATAGAGAGGGAATTTAAAGTCAGCGGAGTAACGAAGCCCGAGGTCAAGTACAGAAGGAAAGATAGTGATAGGCCTGTCGTACATAGTTATGTGTGGTGTGATACGTAAGCGAGCTGGCCATAACAGTCCACACTTCTCCACGTTGATCTGCATCATCCACGACTTGCACCAATCTCAATATTATCAATATCCGATTGGATTTTATGAGACAGATTTGTCACTTCTTGGGTGGTACTGTGGTAGACTATCTTCAAGTCATCGGCATATAAGAAAGGTCTGTCATGTTTGATAACATCACAGACGTCATTTAGGTATATAAGAAAGAAGAGAGGCCCTAGTACACTATCTTGAATCACGCCTTTTGATATAGTTGTGGTTCTGGAAAAAGTGTCGTTAATCCTAACAGACTGGGACCGACCACATATAAGTGAATTACACCACTGTAAGAGATTGCCAGATATACCGTAGGCCTTAAGTTTTTCAGAATTAAGCTATGACATACTTTATCGAATACCTTCTTAAGATCAAGATACATTGTGAGCACAATGAATTTTTGGTCTGTAAGGTCAGTTATAAAATCAAGTAGTTCCAGGTGG